ACATTACTGTCATTGAAAAGTTATATTTTATTTTATATTTACATAACCTGGTTTGTTTTGTTTCATTGTTCATTTAAATAACANNATTTATTAGTTTTTCAAAACTATAAAACTATTAATTTTTTAGTTCATATATATATATATATATATATATATATATATATATATATATATATATATATATATATATATATATACCTGAATGATTGAAAAGGTAGTGTTGAACAGATTATAAAGTCAAAAAAATTTTATTTTGAATTGTAAATATTTATTAAAATTTTATTTTATTAATTGAGCGGTATTTTTCAACTTATTTACAAATCACTAAATAAATAAAAAATTATTTTTGCAAGTGCATAAAAATACACTGTGTCCAAGTAACATTATTATTATCAAATAATATCAGCATTATCAATTAATATCAACATTATCAAACAACATTAACATTATCGAAATAGATAATATATCGCTGCAGAACTGCTGAAAAATTACTAAAGACGCAGTAAATGTCTGTCTATGGTAAATTAATCATATCTGTGGAAATACATTTTCTGAAAACAAACCAGCTTGAAAATGTTTCAATACCAAATTTAATAAATCAAACAACTGTATCTATTTCTATCATGAGTTATAGTTGACAAAATATACTTGTGGCAGTATTAGTGGTGCAACTTGATAATGATACATTAAAAATTAATAAATTTTCGACAACAAAAACTATAAAAATTACATAAATCGAGAATATTTACGGCATTAGCCAAGCAGCCAAATATAAGCTACATTGCATGCCAGTTATTATCGTCCCCGAATCCTTAAAAGTGTATGAGCACTGAGTTGGAGTTTTTTTGTAATTTCATTGCTCGTATGCAAGTGGAACAAGCGTAATTAAACTGATAATTTTTTATGTGGGGCATGTTTTGCACATCCTCATTTTTTGGTGCAGCAAATTAAATAAAAAATAAATGTTTTGTTCATTTGTTGTTTCAGCGCCGCAATCCAAGTGGAGAACAGAATTAAACAAGCAAAATATTTTTTAACAAAATTGTTCAACATAACAAAATGACAGCTTTCTTGGCCAAACAAATGTTGGGAAACCAGTTGGAATCTGTTAAAGGTTCGTTAATTTTATAGCTCTTGAACATTTTTCAGTTAACAAATGGGAATTATTTATTTCGATTAAAATAATTGTTTGTTTAGAAATCGTTGAACAGTACCCTTGAACAATTAGTATGAATTTAGTCTCAAATATCAATTTTTAAGTTATTCAAGTGAAACTTTTTTTCAAATTTATTTATATTGTGATTTTTCAAATAAGACAACTTTAAGGCAGCTTCAACAAATTTCATGCAATTTTAAACATTTATTTTTATACAAAAAATAATCATTAATATCAATTACATATAATTTCCTTTACTTGCTGATATGTGTGCCTGTGCATGAATGTACGTACATACGTCAAACAAGTATTGCATTAAATGTCTCTCGCTCTCTCTCTCTCTCACACACTCCCTCTCCCATTCTCTCTTTCTCTACAATTAAAACATAAATAAATAAGTCTATGTTATCCAATTACGTCGTTATGTTCGGACGTGGTCATTCATCTTCTTTTTTTCGTCGTAAAATATTACTAGGTACACGAGAATCTTTAAAAGAAGTTAGCGTGTATGTTTGTTTCTGCGTTTTTCGTATGTGCGTGTGTGTTTACATGTTTGTTTGAGTAATTTGGTGTGTACGTGGTTTGTGTATTTATGATGATGTGGGTCTGTGCGTGTATACACATGTGCACATTTCAGGTAATATTTTCCAGTTATATCTGAGAATTTAGATGTCCTGACAATTATGTTGATTATTTTGTTTTTCTTACTTGTTTGAGCGTACGGATAAGAAAATTATTGCTGGATACGTACATAGTTGAATAGTTTATGTATCAATATGTATGTATGTATGTGTGTGTGTGTGTATGTATGTATGTATGTATGTATGTATTTATTTATTTTATTTTATTTATTTAGAAATATTTATATAGCGCAAATTAAATACTTCAAAGGCGCCATCAAAAGTGAAACAAACAAAATAACGTGTGCGTGGTCAACATAAATTAAAATATTCAAATTTAATGTTTACCAACAGAAAATAAATATGTTTTTAATTCTTTTTTAAATGTCACAAAATTAATTCCGGGTCTTCTTAATGGAATCGGTAGGTCATTCCAAACCGTCGGACCCGCAACTGCAATATCTCTTGCACTTATTCGTAGATGCCTAGCTGGAACCGCCAAAAGACTCATATTATCTGATCTCAGATGAAAACATGGTGCAGATGCAGAGAAGAAATCTCTGCATCTGCATTAAACTTTCATTATCAATTGATAAATGAATAAAGCATCGATGCAGAGAAGAAATCTGCATCGAGTCCGGTCTGTAAATATCAAGTAAAATAAACTGATACCCATTGATTGAAAATCGAATAGCAATAGCTTCGAATGTGGCAAATATTGGTAAGACAAACTTTTTATAATCAAAATCATTACGGAAATATACAATCAAGCCACCATGACCTGGATCGTGCTGCCTAACATAATCAACATACCAGAACCCGGCGGCATAGCCAACCAAGCAGAATTATTACCAACCGTGCCATGCCAAGACATTTAGCCCATCAAACCATGAACACCATTTACATTGGACGCAATTAACAGCACATTCAACAACCATGTATGCTTGTATGTATACAAATATGTATACCTGTATGCCCATGCATGTATGTATATATGTATGCATGCATGCATGCATGCATGTACATATGTATGAATGTTTATGTCAACTTTTTGCCAGTTACAGTTTCGATCAGTTAATTACGCTCCCAACAAGAATCAGTATTGAAAAGCAATCGATCACTTCTGACTGCATATTCAAAAATTTTCCGCAACAGGTAGTTATATGGTGATCACGTTTATGATATATCAAACCATCTTCCCGTCACCGTCACTATCAGTTCTTCGATCTACAAAAATAAAACCAAACCTATTCAGAATTAACAAATCTATTCTTTTTCGAAAAGGTACAATGAACAAACTAAATGAAGCTTTATGTGCCAACGACTGGTCAGATGTTATGTTATGCAGTGATGTAAATGGTGCTTTGAAACTTTTCCTTGATATATTTAAAATCTTTTTGATGATTGCTGGTTATTGAAAAGTGGCAAAAAATCTAGAAATTTTCTCCACAACAAACCATGAGTTAAAAAAGAATTTAGTATTTTACTCAAAAATAAAAATTCTTTAGATAAAAATTTTTCTCAAAAATCCAACCGTGACAAGATGCACAAAATCCATTGCTAAACGTTGCACAAATCTCAACAATAAACTAAAAAACATTTCAATGACTTGTTTCAACAAACAAAAAAATAACAGCAAAGAACTTGGATGAATATTTTAAAAATAACAAATAAAAGTAACTATGATAAAAATGTCTAAAAATCACTAACCTCAATCAAGACAATTCATAAAATCCACTTAATAAACATAGCTCCAAATTTGATGAAAAATTTCACAAGCATGCAAGCAATGCACCACAAAGTTTAAAATTCTCTTTTTCGTCTTGATACCTCATTTGAAAAAATTGTGTAGACAGCAAAAGTTTACGATCGAAATATTCAAGTGGAGTTGATGACATTCCTTCAAAAATTTTTGTTTCCACAATCAACTCTACAGCTCCAATTCTGATGAACTTTTCATTTAAAGCAGGCATATTTTCTCAATGTTTCAAAGTAGCAATAGTAATTCCAATCGCAAAGGAGGCGGGAAATACTGATATAACCAACTATCGACCTGTATCGTTACTACTGGCTATTTCAAAAATTAGGAAAAAATTGATGTATACAAGAATAGTCAAATTTTTTCAGAAGTACATCATTTCAGACTCTCAATTTGGCTTCCGTAATAAACATTCATCAGTTGGCAATCGTGGAATTGATGCGAAAAATTGGAGTTGCTACAGAACGTAAAAACTTTGTCGTTGGAACTTGCATCGATCTGTCAAAAGTCTTTGCATTTTGACCATAGCATTTTGATGGAAAATTTAGAATATTATGGAACTTGCGATACACCTCTGAGATAGTTTAGTAGCTACTTGACTGACAGTAAACAGTTTGTTAGATAGCAAAGAAAAATCGACGATATTATCTATTAACTTTGGAGTTCTTCAGGGAAGCATAATGAGGCCATTATTGTTTGTGATTTTTATAAATTATCTTTCAAAGGTACCGGCGTTTTTGATTTTGTTTGTTATGCCGATGACACCAACATTTTTAGCAAGAGTGAAAATATTCATGAATTTTTTAATGAAACAATATTGCCATTAAAGAAGTTCCCAAGTAGTTCCAAAACAACAAATTAACGCTAAACAAAAAACTTAAATAATTGTTTTTGGGCCGTTTCAGTATGTGAACTGTAAGGAACCGTATAAGATTATAATTGATGGACTAGAAATAAACAAAAGCAAATCAGTTAAAATTCTAGGTATCCTTTTCTAGGTTTCCAATTTCTTTTGGAAATTGGCGTTATCAACAAAGTTTTTAATTTTATGTTCCAAGAAGAACATTGAATATAATCTACATGCATACCGTACATCTCTTACTGCATCGTAGTCTGGGCTGGTACCTATCGCACGATCACCGATCCGATCCGTTTAACAAAGAGGGCAGTACGGCTAGTTACGTTATCAACAAAGCAATCGCACACGATGCCATTATTTTTGTTAACGAAAGATTTAAATTTTGATCAAACGAATGTCTACTTTACGGCTATTTTCGTCTACAAACAGTTGACAAACTAGTTAACCATCAATAATCAACCATTACTACGCTTGCATCAACAAAAGGAGACGACTGAATTAAATTAGAACAGATTCATAGAAAACAAACAATTTAAAAACTGATTTCTCTTCATTCAGTTAGATTAATTTAGTTATATAATTTTATAAAAATTTGTTTAGTTATTATTTTTGAGCTAATCGTTGACATCATGTACATTGATGCAATTTCTGTTTAGTTTGCCATTAACGATGAATTCATTGCTAATTCCGCTATGGTCAACCTACTTTCCGATTAACTAATTAATTAATTAGTTAATTTTTAGAAGCAAATAAAATTTTCGTTTTGGCCATGCTTTGCCCAGAAGACACAAACGTTAGAGATTGGAGTTATAATCCTTCCATTCCACGAACCAATGCACAAAATAATAACATTTTTCATAAGTCGCCATAGACCACGCAATTGCTCAAGCCAAACCCTAATAATATTTTCACACCATTAATTGTATCAAATTCCAAAAATAATCAACATAACGCACAGACACAACAACGTGTAAGTATTACACCCTCAGAGGCAATCAACAATGAAACATCTGCAATTATTAAAGATCAAAACACTGATATTGTTTTATCTCACTTAGAAATAGTGAATGAAATCACTAAACGGCTTGAAAAGGTTGACATAAAGAAAGTTATTAATTTGTATCAAAATGGCTGTTAGAGTTATAGATACTTTCATGGATAACATTTTTGATGTGCCAGCTTATACAAAATTTAAATGTTCCTACTACAGTTGTAAACATCTCTGTCTTTAGTCCTTTAAAAGTTTTAATAAGTCATCAAATTTTAATGATTAGCTCAAAATTTTTAGTGTTAACTGTCACAGCATTATAAACAAAATAGATAACTTACAATTATTGATCGAAGAAATTGTTGCTGAGTTTGAAGCCATCGCCTTGTCAGAGACTTGGCCTGATAAAACAAATGAATCATTAATTTTTTCAGAAAATTACAATTTTTTTAAATAATAATCGAAAAAGCAGCCTAGAGGAACAGGAATTTTTCTTAAAAAAAATTTGACATATTTAGTGAGAGATGATTTATTGGTTGAAAATTCTGCAATGAATAATCAACTAAATAATACCAACATTCTTCTAACAAAGAAATATATGATTAACTTTAATTCTAATTAAGTTGCAATCAAAGTCGCTGTGAAAACAAAGACACAAAGACGGAACAATACTATATAACTACACTAACAATGGCAGTTGATGCCAAAAAGAGAGATATATATATATATATA